GAGCAGTGTATACGTGTGGATCGCAGCTTATCCTTTTGGCAAGTGGTCCTTAGCGGTGTCCCACAGGGCTCGGTCCTTGGACCGATGCTGTTCTCCATCTACATAAACGATCTCCCTGGAGAGCTTGGGGTATCATCCCTATTGTTTGCTGATGACCTTAAGCTATGGAATGTTGTAAATGTTCCTGTGAGTTTTGAGGACATACAGCATGCACTGGACAGACTCTGGGACTGGTCTACTTTGTGGCTACTGCCCAGCAATCAGGCTAAGTGTTCCGTCCTTCGTATAGGAGCAACTTTCCCGCCTTCGAGCTATGTACTCGGTGGGGTCGAACTCCCCCTCGTCTCCAACCAGGTAGACCTGGGCGTCGTTCATTCCTCGTCTTTGCATTCTGGTGACAACTGGAAAAAGGCCGCAAGTAGGGGTTTCAGAATGTTGTGGTTAATACGCCGTTCTTTGGGGGTCTTAACTGCCGACATATTTGTTAGCTGTTCTCAGCTTTCGTTCGGCCCCATCTGGAATACTGCGTCCAGGCTTGCCTGCTCTGCCTTGTTCGGGACAAAATGGAGCTCGAGAGGGTTTTTAGAGTAGGTACCAAATTGGTCGAGGGGTTACGGGGGCAATCGTACCCCGAGCACCTACTTACCTTGGGTATGTATTCAATGCACTACCGACGGCTTCGAGGAGACCTAGTCCATACTTACCGCATTTTAACAGGGAAGGTTGGACCGGACTTGAGCTGGTTATTAAGCCCGGCTAGGTTGCCTTGTCTTCGCAGTCATCCCATGAAGCTACACAAGCCGCGTTCTGACCGGATCAGGGCGGAAACTCGGTTATCGCGTAGTTATCGAGCGCTGGAACTCGCTTTCAGAAAGTGTAGTCAGTGAACCTACGGTTAAGGGTTTCGAGCGTCAGTTAGACACTCTTGGGTGGCGAAACGCAACCTTTCCATTCTCCTACCATATCCATCTTCCAACAGTCCATATTCTGTCATTCTCTTCACTCTTTGGTGTTATCCTTCATTTAAATGACTTTCATTCCCCTTTATCTTCCATTTTCTTACCACTTCTTACTTCACGTGACCTACGCAGCGCGGACTGCTAGTGCAGGGAACGTGGGCAGTAATTGGTTGACCAGGGTGTGTTTCGGGTGTTTCGTTTTAGATCTATCAAGAACTAGCACTTTATCACTTCCTGGTTCAACGATTTGCTCAAGAAGGAACACTCAAGTGATTTTTCCTATCCTTCCATTCCATCTGAATCTGTTTGCGTTTGTCATTTGGATTGTGCTTGATATCGCTCTAACACATACGTTGCGCATTGTTATACTTAGTTGCGCGATTACCTGTAACCTTCGTTGAGTACTTCATTGTGATCCTCTTTTGTGCACGGCACATTCTCAATAATATTGGTAGCGACCTTGCAGTGGCTTTGCGTACCTTGACTACTTAAGGTTCTTGTACATGTACCTTGCCACCGTGAACGTAACCTTTGACGTTCAGCATTTGTAATGAGACCGCGGTGTACAAACCGTCACTGGTCTTTCATGCTGCCTAGCGGCCGCACATTGCAGGATCGGCATTTGCGTGCGCAAGGTCACGCCAGGTGAAGTGATCAAAGTGATTGTCCGCTGGAGGGTACGGAACATGATATTTCAACACCCACATGGCGTTCGCCATTACCAGATACCAGCAATTGCTAATCGCTATATGTTCTCGTTGAACACCTCATATAAGCAAGCACAGGGTGTTTGTGTACAAACGACGTACAGATACAACAAAGCCTACAGAATGCGATATCGCCGCAGTGTGCAATGACAGTGGTTACCCTTGGCAGTGTTGTATGCGCTTCATGCTCAGATTTGACAGTGGACCAATCAATCATCAGCAGCAACGCCGAGTGGAATGCAATTACTGATGTCACGGAATACTTAAGACAATGGCTGCGCAGCACGTGACCAAACGTTCCTTCCATGAACAAGTTGCTGGCTGCACTTCGCAAGAGTATGCCACGGATATCGAACGATTACCGAACACTTAGGAGAACCCCAAGAAATGTGCCGATCATTAGGATTGGTACGGGTGCATATGGCCACATTGGGCTGCTGCGGGGCCTATGCAGTACTTACCAGAATGGAGATATTCAGCCGCCGGAAAGGGTTGTTGTTAAGCTGCACATAGATGCTTCCATCTCGCTCCTTGAAATTGCAGTTCTGGCCCATTCAGTGTCCATTTATTTATCCCGTTAAGTCCAAATAGTTTGGTGTCGGTGGTCCTGAGTAACCAGATGTCAATGCGTTTCTGAGTCCATTTAAACTTAAAATGAAGTTTTTGTTGTCAACGGGTTTCACCAGGCCCATCTTTATTGAATTAGGGGCTGTCATATGTGACGCTCCTGATCAAGCATATATGAAAAGGACGAAAGACACTAAGGGTACAGTAGTTGCGACAAATGCATTCAGCGAGGTAGTTGTCAAACGGAAGGCTACCTTCCCATCCATCGCGTGTCAGCCTAGGTCTCATAAATCAATTATGAAACGGAAGCGCTCAGTGAAGTCCCATTTTAAATACCTCGATATTGATATGATTTCGAAATTTCCTATTGACTACTTACTCTGCGTATGCTTAGGGGTGGCGCGACGTATAATTGGTTTGTGGACAGAAGCACGGACATGGAAGAAAGTAAAATAGCCCGATGATACATTGCGTTCTATAGCCTCTTTATTGTTAGAAAATAAACGTGCGTGGCTAGATGATTTCCATAGGCGCTGCAATGGTTTATCCATGTTTAAAGGTTGGAAAGCCGCGGCATTTAGGCAGTTTGTTTTATACGCCGGGCCTGCTATCTTGCTACACGTCGTACCAAGAGATTCTTACGACAATTTTCTACATTTTCACCTAGGAATATACATCTTCTGTCACCGACTATTGCATGAGCAATAATGGTTTTTCGCGAAACGGTTGATACTTTCCCACACGGGGACTACCTTCTGTACGGAAAAGACCAGAGGATATCCAATATTCACTGCCTAAACCACCTAGCATTGGACGTGGAGGTGCCTGAAACGCTGGATGATTTCTTTACGTTTCCATTCGAATCCTATATAGATGTCCTGAAGCGAGTCGTGCATAACGCACGAAACCCCGCATCACAGCTTGTGAGACGCTTCTCGGTATATGCGGACACCTCTCTCTCTCTCTTAGTGGCCTGAATTCCAGGGGCTAAGTATACATCTGCGTGGATTAACACGTCGCGAAGTGTTGGTTCTGTATGGTACAACGTACGCCTCCAGTGCACCTGACAACATGATCATTGTATCTGATTGCCCGTACTGCATAGTCAGGTTTAACCATTTAGGCGCGGAAGATGGGAGCATTGCCTGTAAACCTTTCACAGGTGTGCACGCGTTGTACCATCTCCAGATACCTTCTGTCTGCAACATAGTTGCCGCCTCAGACACCAGCGATGTTATGCAATCATTCCGTGTGGTGGACGTGCTTTGCAAATGTGTGTACTTCTCTGTTAATAACTTAGCTTTTGTTCCTCTGCTGCTCCGGATGGTACAATGTGACGTTTTGTTTACTTTCTGCGTAGCTGTATGTTCATTTTTACTTCATACTATTTGTTTCTTTCCAGGGATTTTTCGACTTCTTTATTTATTATAATGCCTATGATTAGTTCTTGCTTTTTTCAACTGCTCTTTTAATGTCTCCTTATTTACTTGCGGACATGAAATCCCTTTACAAAGAGTTTACGCTTATCCTGTTACCTGAGGTTTCTTAGTACTTTTTCATGCAATGTGATCGCAGGGCGTCCATATGTGGCTCACACCTATTCACCCAACTTATTGAATGACAGTACATCGTCATATGGTGGTTCTTTTATGATACTTCATTGAGCAGTCATGTGTGATGTGCTACGAATCACCACTTGCACGGGGTACAAGAAAGAAAAGAAAAAAGAAAGAAAGGTGTCAGCTTATACGCCGTAACGGCGCTTCGCTGCCGCGCGACCACCACCAGTCGTGTGCGGGCCGAGTATACCTCGAGGACGCCCACCCCTACGCGGAGTCGAACCGGTGACCTTATGGTTGCAAAGCAAACGTGCAGACCACTCGGCCACCGGCCGACCCACGGGGTACAAGAGTGTAACGGTATTCGGCCGATGGGCATACGGGGGACTCTTAACAGATTGAATGCGTTTATGTGTATCGGAATGGCAAACGACAGAGTGCCACCTGTATCCCCCTTACAAACATAAGCAGCTTCTGGCTGCTTGGGGACGTTCGACGGGCGTTGATACCAAACTCCCCTCCATTTAACCTATCTTTAGGCTGTGAAGGAAAACCAGCAGGCGGACAAGCATTATAGATTTACAGAGATGACTCTACTTCGTCGAAGTAGTAAGTTTCGTGCTGTCATAATTTTTCAGTGGAGTTCGACCAGGCTGTCGCCGTAGCCAACTCAGTCGACTTTTCGAACTTACCCGAAGACAGGGATTCAACGGCAAATTTGAGCACACCCCCACACAGACTCATATGAGTTACTACATCGTCAGCATAACATTTCCTCTCAGCTGTATACCATGTCGTTTGATTTCTGACGACGATAACTTGGAGCCCCCAGGAAGCACCTAGCCCCCACAGCCGTTTTCTGTAGCTCCCCACCTATCGCTTTCCTAACTAAGTTCGCGCGGTCTATGAGTAAAAACACACCAGTCGTCTTCGCAGTGATACACCATGGGTGGATACATTTAACCTACCCCAAGTACGGGGTACATTTTTCTTCATATAAAACTTCAGTGTGCAATAGTGCATTTCACAGTGGTGAAAATTCGATCGTACAGAATGGGAAACTGGATTCAGCTTGGTGCTTACGCTTTCTAGCTTGAGTATCGTAGTCGTAGATGAAACCTCTGATTCATCCTTCATCACGGTTCCTAAAAGTAATTAGGATCTCATTCACCGTAAGCATTTCATTGAAGTTTCATCGTTTTCCTTCAGGCGATATGGATAAACTGAAGAATAAACGAGTCCATAGACGGTCATTTCCTAGTTTACTGAAACATGATATACATTTGCAACTAATGTTCAAAAAATTATGGAGACATCAAAGTCTATGAAGAGCTGCATGAGATCAATGGCTGCGACCAGTGCTGGCCTACTACGGCAGCAGGCACCACAGCTTCGTCTGACAATTACATCGGTGGAGGAACTGCAGTCCTTCGATATATTAATGCAGGATGCTGCACGCAGGCAACAATTGGTAAGACTGTTTTATACCTCTTGTCTGTATGCAGCATACTTATCTGGAAGGTGTACACGGAGACACCTGCTCGGAGACCGTACGCCTCATGATGCAGCGTCTTTTGACGTGGCCTTTGATGGCGGAGACAAATTACACCGGTTCACGCAACCAATACGGATTCCGGGAAACGCAGCTTTCCACCAAAAGGCAAGGTAAGCGACCTCTATGCTGTTTCATCCCTGTCATAGCTGCTATGTTAAAAAGGTTCTCCGGCAGCAATGTCTCGCCGGATGACGTAACACGTGAGAAAATATCTGAAATCTATTCGTGGCAACGTATGGCGCGACACCGCCTAAGATTGTACAAGCAGTCGGCAAATATTTAATGGTGGAGTACCTATTACCATTTTTTAATTAAGATTTTCCAATTAGTGGACTTGGACTCCTCAGACGACAGCATAGAAGAAGTCAGACAGTTTCAAACGGAACATTGACCTCTGTTGTCAATGGTAATGTGAATTCCTTGAATGTACCCACTGCTAGGTGTCGCTAATCTGACTTTTCACTGTGCAAAAATCGGTTCCTATTTCCTCAATCGTTGTGATTATGGGACGAAAATCCTGAGGCATCACGGTAACAAATGGGACTGGATCCTGTGCGCCGTGTTCAACACGGTTTCCTTTATTCAATAGCAACTGGATCTGCAGCATGATACCACGCTTTCCCCTGTTATTCAGTTCGTTACGCCGCGTGCAATCAGCTATACTTCCCAGGTTTATATGGCATTAGTAAGCAGTAGTGATACCTGCGTTACATAGGATTGGTAATAGCTTAGGGAGGTAGGGATTCGGGAGAAATTCCCCCAGGGTTTTCGCGCGTAGGTGGTTAGCCGCTAGGTGAGGAGTACTGGGGTAGCTGCTAGGCGCGGCATACAGGGGTGCCGCATAGGTGCGTCGTATCGTCGTGGTGCGTGCACGGCCATTGGTCCACGCTGCCCATGATCAACCGTCAGCGACCATTTGTGTTCAACTGCTGTGTCCGCCGTCCATCGTTTAACCTGGCTTTCTGCTTAGACACGGTGAACAGCCCTTCACGGTGTACTTAATGAAGCTGCAGTGGAAGGACAAATTTCGCCTTCCAAATGGTCACCAACGTCCTTTAGCATGATTCAGATCCATTGTAGCCCTTCAAGGACTTTACCACTTATATTCGCCTTTAAAGTCTTTTTGTGCTAGCACGGATCCAAGTCTGTGTGTATACTACATGTTTTACCCTATCTCCTTTGTCTCCAACGTATGAACTTATTTACTCTGGACTACCGCCGTCGCCGGGGCTATCTGATTTATACTAGACGCATTTTAAGGGAAGATATGGGGAAGGAGGTGCAGCAGTTCTTCCAGCTCAACACAGATTGTTCGACACAACGCGAAAGCTTGAAACATTTTAAACCTTGGAGGAACCATGTCCGGTCCGATGTTGTATTACCCACGCGGGTTTTAAATGAGTGGAATAATCTCCTTAAATGTGTGGTGTGCCAAAACAGAGGAATGTTTTCAAGAACCGTTGGACAAATACCTACTGAGCATGCCTGGATTCCGCTACTTTGCTGCAGCACCACTGTAACACACCGCTCGAGATATCTCAGTTCTTGCTGTTACATCGTCGATATTTCGCTGCCATATAGAAGTACAGACTGCACCATGGATTTGTACACCATCAGTTTCATGCCAACGGTAAGCTGATGGTTGTTCCACACTCGGCACTCTAGCTTCCCGAATGCCGCCGCTGCCTTCGAGACGCGGATACGAAGCTCACAGTGTAGCTGCTGGTCAGTCGACATCACACTCCCAAGGTAGCAGAAACGTGAGATGGTTTCTAATACTTCAGCGCCAATGCTAATTTGCGGCAATATTGAAGATTGCACCTCTGGTGATGGCTGGAAGAGACAGACAGTTTTGCTTGTGTTGATGTTGAGCCTGAATTTGGCCGCTGTCGCAGCCAGAGCACTAGTCATGTGCTGCAACTCAACCGCGCTGTGTGCAAACAACGCACAGTCGTCAGCAAACAGCAACATACGGATAGTTCTCTCACAGTCCAGGGTTCTCGCACCGCAACAATGAATGTTCAGCGACAAACCATCAAGACGGTGCTCCACACGAACACCGTAAACACAAGCCGCATCAAAAACACAAGATATGATTGCATGAAGAGAAATATTAAACAAAGCAGGAGCTAATGCACATCCATGCTTCACACCAGAGACAATTGCAAAGTCATCCGAGGTCTCTCCACTCAACTGCACCCTCGCCCGCATACCATTGTGCAGACATTCAATTAAACTTACAAACTTACGCGGGCAACCAAACTTACCCAACACCAGCCACAATGCCTCGCGGTTCACCGTATCAAATGCCTTAGTGAAATCAACAAAAAGTGAGTACAATGGCTGCTGTCGTTCTCTGCACTTCCCCTGCAACTGACGAGCCGCAAACACCATATCGATGTTGCTGCGACCCGACCGGAACCCATACTGCTCTTCCGCCACGTCAGGTTCCACAACCTGACTGACTAGGCGGTTGAGCAGGATTCGGGTAATCACCTTGCCCACACAACTCAGCAAGTTGATGCCACGATAATTCGTGGCACATTGCGTGCTTCCTTTGTCCTTATACAGTGATAGCACAAGGGCATCCTTCAGCTCAGGAGGCACCTCCTCCTCCTCAATCCACACGCGTTGCACCAAGTGGTGCAGCGCAGTCACCAAGGCGGGTCCGTCGCGTTTCAATACTTCAGCCGGGATCCCGTCGGCACCGGCACAAATGCCGTTTCACAGCTGAGCAAGTGCTCTCTGCGTCTCATCCAGTGTCAGCGTGTCCGCCAGAATCGCCTTCACATCGTGCTGCTCCAGGTCGTTCAAAGTAGGTCTCTGAACGGTTGTTCAAGAGACAATCAAAGTGTTCTTGCGAGATCTGCATTATGTCTGCAGTCTGTGTGCAGGTAGCGCCTGAGCTACCATCGATCAGCGTCCTCAGCGGCTCCAATCTCGGTCCGTACACCGCCCTCAAGGAGCCAAAGAATTCCTTGTGTTGGCGACGTTCGACGTAGCATTCCATTTGCTTCGCCTTCATCGTCCACCATTCATTTTTTATGCGACGGAGCTCTCGGGTAAGTCGCCATCGAATTTTGCGTAACTGACTGACCCAACTCACTGGGGTCTGCCACATGTGCAGCAAATGCTGCATTCTTCTCCGACACCAATGTGCCAATCGTCGCATTGTTCTCATCAAACCAATCAGGCTGCTTACAGTTGGTGCGCCCGATGGTCTCCTCAGCAGCAGCTGTCACCTGGTCGCAAATGTGGTGCCACAGGTCACCCACTGTGGCTATGCTGCCCACATTACACAGGCGTGCAGCCATCGCCTTCTCCAGCTCAATACGTTTCTCCACAGTACCGAGGGAAAGTAGGTTAAATTTACGCCGATTCATGGTGGGAGTGCGATACATAGATTTACGAAAATTTATGTACAGTTTGGTCCGCACCAACTTGTGATCAGTGCCACACTCAGCTCCACGCAGTACACATATCATGCGCATTTCTTGCATATCACGCTGGCGTACGATGACATAGTCGAGCAGGTGAGTGCGACCACTCTGTGAGTGCGTTCAAGTTGCTATATCACTCGCACTCAGTGCAAACGGAGTGTTCCTGATCGCCAGACTGTGAGTGGCACACAGTGAGAGCAGCCTGTCACAGTTTGCATTCGCTGAACCAATGCCATGCGGACCGATAACATCTGTTCACACTGATGCCTCACGCCCAACGCGCGCGTTGAAATCGGGCAGCAGAAATAGTCGGTCGATCTTCGGCATCGACCGTATAACGGAGGATAGCTGAGGGTAGAATTGATCACGCGTGTCATCAGAACAATACATGGTCGGACCGTACGTGCTTATAAAAGTGGCAAACGTACCACTTCCGAGTTGTAGGCGAACAGTCATCAGTCGCGCGCTGATGCCAGTGGGCTCACCCACCAATGGCCATTTAGGCACTCGGATATCGCAAATCCGACCCCATGTTCACGTGGCGCTGAGGCGGCGTTTCCCACCCAGTAGAATGTGTAGCCAGCACCTGCTTCATTCAGCTTACCTTGCTCAACCAGCCGAGTCTCACTGAGCGCCCCAATGTCGATGTTGTAGCGCGCCAGTTCCATTGCGTCTAGTGCAATGCGTCGTTCGGGACGCTCACTCGTATGCCGGTCCAGTAGTGTGCGCACGTTCCAGCACCCGATGCTGAGGGCTTTGCGCGTAGGCATACAATTGCATTGGTGGGCAATCGCACACAAGGTGGCGGTTGTGCTTCGGAGGTTTGTTTGATGGACTTTATTCGGATCTTTTGGCTCAATAACCTGACCCACAAGGCAGTGGGTGGTTTGGAAGTTTGCTTGAGGGACTCAGCCCGGAGGCTTTGGCTCGATAACCTGACCCACAAAGCAGTGGAGAGCAGATCCAGTTCGGGAATGTGATTGCAGTGACCCATTGGGATCTGCTTGAGGTCCGTCACAAGCAACCTTTGAGGTACTGGAACGATTCATGTACGATTTTACAGCTAAGGGTTCCCTGTTTGCCTAACTATAAAAAACTTCACCGTTGAATACTCCTAGCTAGGGGAATGAAAATTGCACAACACACTGAGTGATCGCGCTTTACAATCTAAACGAGTGCCAAGCAAAAAAGGGCCATGCTTGACTCAAGCTAGCGAACTGAACAACCAGTTCAGCAGTCCGCATCGGTCGCCTAAGTGTACCGTGGAATAATTTTTGAACTTTACACACCCGAGCCTAGAAAATCCCACTACTGCCACAGTCTCTTTCCCTTGCAGGATGATCTGCTGCGGTTGGATGCATGAAGGAAGCACCAAAAGGAAATGACGAGGAATATTCCCCTGATTTTAATGCTTGTTTACATTAGCCCTGCCCCCCGGTTTACTTGACCTTGCACACGCAAGTCATACTGACTGACTTACCCGCTTTTCTTGCTCTGTACTCCTTGCGTTGCTTTTGGGTTCTGAAATACACTTTCGTTCCATTCACATATTCTTACTAGGTGGTTGTGATAACGTCATCCAACCGCCTCCGTAGTATTATTTCCCTTTCCAGCTCCACAGTCTATTGCGATCTATCGGATACGGAAGAGTCCGGACCCTCACGTCGTGTGCATACAACAGTGGATCATGACAGCTTCTAACTTCGTGCTAATAGCTTATGCAGCTTCGTGAAGAGGTTGCAGTTTTTCTCTTGCTCCTCTCTTTCTCCATTGTAAACGCAATAATCTACTTTCAACTTGAAGAGCTGGGGGCTCTGTTCCTTTGTTGGCACCTGAAACGGGACGCTTGTTAAGCACAACCTTGTTTTGTCCCTGGGTCCTATCTTCTCCTGTGCTGCCTCTGGGCTAGCGATCACGTCTGTTTGTCATTCGAATGTGCCCTCTTCCGAGACCATACAGATCTCAAAATTCCGAGTCCAGATATTTGGCGAGTATACCTCCACGCGATCAGAGCTA